AGTTCCTCTGAAATATAATTAAGTACAATTCTCAGTTAATGACCAATACCACGAAATTCACAATGCAATGCAATAGTAACAATCAGTTCTCAAAACTTCTCATGAAAACCACAATGTGACGTAACTGCATCCCACAAAAACTATGCTAAAAACAACACATTATAGTTTCTTATTTATTTAAATACTACCATCTCAAATCACACACCGATCCACTAATCTTCAAATGTTATTCACTCCTTGTTTTTAAATTCACTCCCTTTTCTTCATGCATTAAAGAAGAGAGCAAGCAGTCTGGCTCCGGGCTGCTGCACAGCAGTTGAGCAGAAATGTGGAGAAAGGGGGGCTTTTCATTTTTTTTTTTTTTTGTATCCTTCCATTATGACTTCGCATTTCTTATCTGACTAAGGCCATTCTATGTTCAATATTAATTGTATTTATCCATAAGCACATAAATATATCCTCCACGCTGTCTGCTCAGCTTTTAAGATGCGATATTTCTTTCAACAGAATGGGCGTTAAACCCAACAGAACAAGACAATGAGAAATCCGTTAATTTCAATGGCTTTTGAAGTTGGCGTTTCTGCGCTTGCATTCACATATAGCTCACCTCCAACTCCTATGAACCTTGGATTTGCTATTCAATTTTGTCACGGATGGAGACTCACCAGCGAAGTATACCTGTGGGGACTCGATACCTCCACTAGGCGTAGGGACTCTTATACCCTTCAGTCGCCAGAGACTCAATACCTGACGCTGAAACTACTTCGCTGCTTCACTTGTAGCTAACGAGTAGCCGTATGATTCTGAAAAATCTACGAAGCTTCAACCGTTGCTTTATTTATTTATGACTTACCTACCTATGCTAAACTATTGCATTGCATTCGTTACCGTAAATGACACTTGGAATATCTTTGACAACTCTAAAATTTAGCTTGAGCCAATTACAGACTTTCGATAGAAACAGGCGTCCGTTTTACCTTTCAGTTGGATCCTTAGTTGTCAGAGATCATTCCAGGCATCTCCCTCCGTCCGCTGGCTGCTAGTGTTCTTCTCTAAACAACCCTTTTCAACCCGCTTCGGGGTCACCATTTGTTGTGACAGAGTCATTCTTTGGTGGGGGCTCTAGGCCCCCCTCTGCTCCGCGCGTCCTTTTGTGAATGGGTCAGATTAACAGAGGAAGAATTCACAGCAACCATTGGTAAGGTTATAACAAATATGCTGATTTAATGGTAAAAGATACAAATACAATATCATCACGAAGTAATCCGGATTACTCCGGCCCTGTCCTCCTCTGGGGACTCTTACTTACTCGTCTTGGCAGCTGGAGGAAAGAGAACGGACACCAGGACTCAACAGGCTTTCATGCCAGAAAACAAACAGGAGGGGTTGGGTCAGCTGGTCATCTTTTCAGGTCATCTCATTGGGAGATGCAAAAGATGCTGTATCACAGCGAATCAGCGCGTGCCAGCAGAGAACCCGAAAACAGTCTCAGTTTGAAGCAAACACATCTGTATTTCAGCAGGTTTCACGCACACTCATTTCCCTTATTTTACCATGTAAGGTAACACAGACACATTGGGTGTCCTGCACGGACCCTTCATAACATATCAGAGAACGCACACTAATTTCAGAGACCTGAGCTATCTTCAAATAAGGGCATTCCCCTGCTCACCTTTTACTTTAAATAATGGTTTTACTCACATTTCCAACTCCCTATTATTATTGATACAAAGTAATTAAACACACACATATATTTTAGACATGTATGTTCTAGCTACTTGGCATTCTGTGTTTAGATAAGAATGTGTCCTCCCCCCACATCCCCAGTCTCCTGTCATGCCAACCTGCTCCTTATTTCACATAAGTAATTTAAACACATTTAAGCCAACTACTTGCACAAAGTTTTGGCAATTTAGTACTCACAACATGAAAGAATGAAACATAAAGAAATCAATAAAAACACAAGCATCAGTATGATTGAGCAGTTATGATACAGCCAGATGGCTACTGCAACACACACACACACATCCTACTCTGCTGCCTACAGTATAGCATATGTCTATATAAGGGTATTTCCTCTCTGTCTCCTCTCCTGACAGGGAAGTTTTCACTTCTCTCTTTCCAGCTTCTTGTTCATATAAACTGCTACTATTAAATACAAAGTAATTAAGTACACACATGAAAATATAAAAACACACTTCTTATATATCAAGGGACATTAAAATTAATATACCAAAAATTACACTGTATTAAACTTCCTGCTATAATATGTTCATTTAATTATCTTCATTTCCCCCTTTTGATCTTATTTCCAAAGATCAACTTTAACAAGGCATTTGAAACATAACTATAGTCATTATTTTCTACTGTGTCCGTCTCAACATTGTATAAATCTATCAGAAACTGAGACCCAAAGTACTTGAAATCTTTGGGAACAGAACACCACTTTCCATGGCAGTGAAGGAACCATGAGAGGTGCAACCTGAGTGCTAGAAAGCAGTCTCCTTGTGGTAAAACTGCTACTATTAAATACAAAGTAATTAAGTACACACATGAATATATAAAAACACACTTCTTATATATCAAGGGACATTAAAATTAATATACCAAAAATTACACTGTATTAAACTTCCTGCTATAATATGTTAATTTAATTATCTTCAATATCGATATACTACGTCTACTGCACACAGACAAAATCTGTAAGAGAAATGCAGTCTATGGTATTTACTTGTCTTAAATATTATATTTAACTATACATTACATTACATTGCATTGCATTTAGCTGACGCTTTTATCCAAAGCGACTTACAATAAGTACATTCGACCAGGAAGACACAACCTTGAAGAAAACAGAATCATATAAGTACATCAGGTTTCATAGAGCCAAACATTTCAAGTGCTACTCAACTGGCTTTAGGTAAGCCAGTCCTTTATTAGTATAAAAGTACTTCGTTAATAGTTCTAACGCTCGAAGTGGAGTCGAAAGAGATGAGTTTTCAGTTTGCGCCGGAAGATGTGCAAGCTATCTGCCGTCCTGATGTCAATGGGGAGCTCATTCCACCATCTTGGAGCCAGGACAGCAAACCCACGTGTTTTCGCCGATGGGAACTTGGGTCCCCCTCGCAGCGAGGGCGCAACGAGTTGTTTTGGCTGATGCCAGAGCGTAGTGCACGCGCTGGGGTGTACGGTTTAACCATGTCCTGGATGTAGGAAGGGCCAGATCCATTCGCAGCATGGTAAGCAATGTACCAGTGTCTTGAAGTGGATTCTAGCAGTTAACCGGAAGCCAGTGAAGGGAGCATGAGGTATACCTCAGCTCACGCGCTTCACGCTCTGTATAGTTAAATTCACTCTGTGATTGGTCTGAGAGACAGGAGATGTTCGACTGATCCCAGAGATCTATATCGCATTTCTATTATAGGGCTCTGGTACTGACCCACACAGCAAACCACACGATCCAATTAAGCAAAATGTTTGCCTACGTGAAATACCTTGGACGACGGAGTAAAAAATCAATGTTTCCGAACGTCTTATATCAAGGACTTTGACAGGGAGAAATATATACAAAGTAACCTTGACACTGTATATTGGGTACGCTGGGAGGACGATTTTTTCAAGGGACAAATATTATTTGTAAAGGGTGAGCGATGGTGTCCTGAATACTGCATTAAAACCATAGCGTTAATAAATGTTTGTTATGAGTTTTGGCTAAAATGGTAGCGTTAACGTAATGGTTCTCCAACTAGCAATTGCTAGTTGGAGAACCATTTAGCTAGTTAGCGGCAAGCAAAATACTTGGCCGCTGAGTTAAACAAGCTAACGTTGGAGGCAAGCTAGCGTTAGCTGCAAACTCCCGTTAGCTGATTGCTCGCGTGTTGCAAGCTAACGTTAGCCGGAAGCTAGCGTTAGTTGCAAGCTATTGCCGCTGAGTTAAACATAATAATAGACTGTATCGCGCCACTGCATTACATAATAAGATGAATGACAGCGCTTCATGCTATAATGACAGCTCTTAGAAGAACATTCTAGAATTCAAGATTCCAGAGCAGTGTCTCGTGTGCAAAAGAAATAGGTAGCGCGTGAGGCCAAGAATGTATACAAGCAATCCGTTCGGCTCGACATCTGCCAGCCAGGATGTTTGCTTATGTGAAATACACGGACGGATTTAAGGCTATTGTAGCTATACCTATAACAAACATCCAAAACTTCGACCTAAAAACATATCAAGCGGACATCCTCTATCCCATTCTTTGGGAATACAAATATTTCAACGGCCAGGTTCTGCTTGTGAAAGGTACGAATAATTAGGCTACCTTAACATTAATAATTAATAAGCGAGTAGCCAACGGCTTATTCTAACCGTTAGACTCTAACGGTTAGAGTATGCCATATATACATATATATATATTATTATTTGTTATATATAGGCCTATATATATATACATATATAATATATTCGGTACTGGTACATTAAGATGGCTTACTTTAACGTTATACTCTAACGGTTAGAGTATGCAGACTTCATAAGCCGTATATATATATTTATATAAACTACCGAAATTAAAGCAAGGTAAAATCATTACCATGGACATTAAACATTTACGTTAGCTTCACTTACACTTACCTTTTGACAGAAACCCAAGAGATTCAGGACTCAACATCAAATCCTCCAAAACAAATCAGAGTTCCAAGGATCCAAGAAGATTTTTGATTTGATCATTGTGAAGGGACATCCACAGAAATGGATGCTCTAAAAAAGAAATCGGTATGTTTTTCTTATTTTTAAGGAAAATGTTCTGAAAAATTCATCTCTTCTTCTTCTTCTTCTTCTTCTTCTTCTCTTTCTTCTTCTTTCTTCTTCTTCTTCTTCTTCTTCTTCCTGGTGCATGCTGGGAGATTTCGGAGGGTGAAAGAAAGAGAAGACTGGTTGTGGACTTAAAGGGAACCACTTCCTGGCCTTCCTGACATCCAGGAAAAGGTGAGATTCAAATCCATGTTAATGCCAGAAGCAATTTATTGTTTTTAACTTTTTTAATATGATTTGGGGCATTTCAGTTTTATTGGAAAGAGGCAGCAGAGATCTACTGGAAACAGTGGAGAGGGAGGAGATGATATGCAGCAAAAGGCCCACCCGGATGGTTGCTGCTCCGTGTGGAACGTGTTCTATCAGGTAAAGCAATTTGGTACCCAGTTATTTTTGAGTTTGAATTTAGCCTTTGGAAGGTAATTTCCAACAGTGCATTGTAAAGACTGAAAGATTTAAAGCTTGACATGATTTGGTCTTTTACTTAAGAGGATGCTTGTCTCTGAACTTCTTTAATGCTTATTTTTATATTGATGATATTGTTTTGTTCTTTATTTTTGTAGTGAGAATCACTTTGCAATTGTGTAAGTGCTATATAAATAGTTATACTAATAGTATTGTTGTTACCATCATTGCTATTATTAATAATGTTTTCTTTGTTTGGCTGCAGAAAGGATCATGCCAGCCCACATCAAACACCTGATCAAGAACTTGTGAATCTTCAGGCAGAACAGATGAAAACACCTGTTCAAAGTTCCAGTTCCCTGTACATGGAACCATGCCTGTATGGGACTCTGTTCCACATGTCTTCAGTCAGTCCTGGACCCTATGACTAGGACACTAGTTCTACCAAGGCTTATTAGAGGTAAGCAGTGGTAGGAGAGGAGTGGAGTTATCTTTGTATTTGAGCTGCAAGTAGACAAAGGTGATCAAATGCTGATGCTAATAACGATCCGAGTAATTTGATATTGATTGTCTGCAATCAGAGGTCGCGTTAACCGAATATTTTCCGTCTATGACGGATTTTTTATAACAATGACGGACAGATCTGAAAGCAGTCCGTCATTTTGAAAGATTAGAACAAACTCAGAGCAGCGCCAAAGTTTCCCCGCAGCGAGGCTCCGGTGTTATGCTGTGTTATGCATGCCCTCCAAAAAGGAAATTATACCGTTTCCAAACCTAACTGTGCCGTACAAATCATTGAAATGGTTAGGGTTAGGGTTAGGGGTTAGGGTTAGGGCTTCTCAGCGATTACCGTAAAGGCGCTATAAATCGCGCACTCAAAAATGAAGAACTGCTCATTTGACCAAGCAAATTTGAGAGACGGCTGAGTTGACCGCAGTCCCGCGAGGTGCAGCAGCCATGCATAACACGGCGCATGTGAACTGTCCCTCCCCCCCCGTTGACAGTTCACGAGCATGCTTCTTCCCCCCCCACCCTCGTCAGAGTTGTGTAAAAGCCGACGGGTAATTCTGGATTTTGACGGAAGTTTTACGACCCTGTCCGTCAGAATGACGGACAGCGAAAAAGTCTAGCGCAACCTCTGGTTCACACATACGAGGAATTTGACTTGATGTCATGGTGCAGACATAACATATAAAACAAGAAATATAATACAAAACAAAAAATCTTTAAGGGCACCGTAATAACATATAGTTAAATAGCAATAAGAAAAATAAATAAAAAATACCGAATCCTTACCCGATTCTTCTATTTCCCAGATAATACAGCTGCACAATTACAACAGGAACTCATCTTTAGACGGTTAATACAGAAGGTACATTTAATGTTTGTGTTTTTACCAGTCATAGGGTAACAACAGATTTGACTGGTGGTAGGCTAAAAGGCTGTTTTGTTGATCATTTTATTTTTCATTACATTATAAAGATCTGCTACATTGGAGGATTCCAAAGCTGAGCTGGAAGGGGAAGTCACCACCTACAGGACAGCAAATCTAAACATTAATTTGGATAAAATATTAAACCAGGTATTTTCACAAAGTAAGTACATTTGTTTTTAAATTGCAAGCAAATAATAATGACAGTCTTGGATCGATTTTGCATTTTAACTTTCATCAGCAACTACAATAAAATAAACAGACAAGATGGCAGTGAAATGTGTAAACAATCAGCCCATCAAGATATACACATATTAATTTATACTATTGATGAAATGTTTTTGTCCTTTCTTTGTCTTATTCACATTCTGTAGAAGAACAATCTGAGATACCTGAACAGCGTGAGCCGGCACCCTGGACACCCACACACCCCAATAATTCCCCTTCAAAGAGCGAGCCACATGGGAAGGTATATATTATTTCCATAGTGGAGCCTTTTTATTTTTGCTCCTCAGTCTCATATTGGTGTCTAGCTTTTATGTATAGGCTACTGTACACATTTTATGTTTCAGATTGTTGTCATTCACTTGCAAGGGGAGATTCCAGTGCATCCAGAGGTCTGGGCAAAAATAAAAAAACAACACGAGGGACTCCATGTTCGTGAAGGAGTTGGCTGTGGCGTTTTGGGGCACCGACACCTTAGGGGAAAGGAGCCTGACTGGAAAGGAATGCCCCACCACCAAGACCACCAGACAGCCAAGTAATAACTATTCTGTTTACAGTTCTGTCATCACATAATTGAATACGATTTGTTAAAACATTGTTGTTTCTTATTTTCAGTTTGCTTCAAGCAGTGGCTGTACGAGAAATACGTGGAGGACCAAGAAATGCTGGCCGGATTGGCAAAGACCGGAAGATACATAACAGAGAAGATAATGGATATTAACAAGAAAAAGAAAAAAATACTTTAAAAAAAAATGTTTATAATTTCTTTATATATATATATTTTATTATAATGCTATTTACATTTTAATTATATTTGTTATTTCTAAATCAAATGCATCTATTATAGATGATATATTTATTTAGACGTAGGTTTTTTTTGTAATATTATTGGATTGTTAATGTATAATTTATTAAATAAAAATACTGTTATGAACACTATACAATGTCTTTATTTTGATAGTTACCAGAATACATTGTATATTTAATACTAACATAAGCTGGTGATAGATAAATTCTGGTCTGCTGGTCTGTTGGTATGCCAGCAAAACCAGCATATGTTGTGTTTTGGTCACTATCCTGGTCTATGTTAGTATGCTGGTGACCAGCAAACCAGCATACTATGCTGGTACCATGCAACATGATCTACCAGCATGGTGTTGTGTTTTGGTCCCCAGCATGCTGGTGGACCATGCTGGTGACCAAAACACAACACCATGCTGGTCAACACCATGCTGGTCCAAGCTGGTTTTTTCAGCAGGGGAGCGAAAAATGCTAACGCACTTTGGCACAGAACTCAAGATAAAAGTACCCTTATTACTTATCGTAGCTGCACATACAAGATATCCGATTAAAGATGAGGTTCCACAGATTATTTAGGTATATATAGTATCATCACTGAGTGATCCGAACTCGGACAGGGGAAGCACACACAGACATCACACACGTACCTTTACGTAGCTTACATTACATTGCATTTAGCTGACGTTTTATCCAAAGCGACTTACAATAAGTGCGTTCGACCAACAAAAATACAAACTTGAGGAAAACAGAATCATATCAGGCTTCATAGAGCAAAAACATTTCAAGTGCTACTCAACTGGCTTTAGATAAGCCAGCCATTTATTAGTATATAAGTGCTTTGTTAATAGTCTATCGCTCAAAGTGGAGTCGAAAGAGATGAGTTTTCAGTCTGGCCGGAAGGTGTGTAAGCTATCTGCTGTCCTGATGTCAATGGGAGAGCTCATTCCACATTTTGGAGCCAGGATAGCAAACCCACGTGTTTTTGTGATGGGAACTTGGGTCCCTTCGCAGCGAGGGTGCAGCGAGCCGTTTGGGTTGAATGCAGAGCGGAGTGACGTGCTGGGGTGTACGGTTTAACCATGTCCTGGATGTAGGAAGGGCCAGATCCATTCGCAGCATGGTACGCAAGCTGCTTGCTTCCAGTCTTGGCTATACGGCAGTCCGCGCAGTCTAACACACACACATTACCAAATAAGGAGTGAGAGTAACGCTTAGCCAAAACCGGGAAGCTGCATACACTCTGGTGGCTACCATTAGCAGCTAACTTTTGTGCTCGATTTTTAAATACAAATGGAATTATGGATTATAAACAATTGCTTCAAAGCCACAGATACATTATCAACCTATGGATCAACGCGATTCAGCCGCGTTTTTTCTCGTTTTAATGCCATTGAACACGTCTTTTGATCAGATTGACAGCTTCGGTGAGACGATCTCCCGTAAAAGCTCCGTAAAAGGTACGTGTTGTGATGTCTGTGTTTGCTTTCCCCCCTGTTGCGAGATCAGATCGCTTAGATACTATACTTAAATAATATGTGGAGTCTCAGCTTTAATCGGATATATTGTATGTAGTAATAATAAGGGTATCTTTTATTTTGAATTGCTGTGCTAAAGGCGTTAGCATTTTTTTTTTTTTATTAAAACCGCACGTCCCTGCGGTGTGAATATCGCATGCGCATATCGCGGTTATCACCATGACACGGTATATCGTTCAGCCCTAGTGTGTGTGTGTGTGTGTGTGTGTGTGTGTGTGTGTGTGTGTGTGTGTGTGTGTGTGTGTGTGTGGTGTGTGTGGTGTGTGTGTGTGGGTGTGTGTGTGGTGTGTGTGTTGTGTGTGTGTGTGGTGTGTGGTGTGTGTGTGTGTGTGTGTGTGTGTGTTGTCTCTCGCTCTCGTGTTGTCTTCTTTCTCTTCCGCTGTCCCCCTTCCTCTTCTTTCGTCTTCTGCCCTACCCCCGCCCCCGCCTTCCCTTCGCTTTTGGTCGAAATGTTTTTTTTTTTGTTCCGAATTGCTATTCTGTTCAATGATTCCCTTCGATGCAGGAAGACATCGTATGGAAACTTTGATTCTTTGAATAGTTCGATGACCGCATGAAGGCGACACGCAGGGTTGGCAGCATGACCTTTACCCCCCCCCCCTCAACGACACCCACCAAAATCACCGAAGCAGAGATGCGCACCATCTCCCCCGGCTTCATCACCATGCCTACCACAATCATCCAAACCACAACAATACAAGAAAGATGGAAGCAGATTTCCAAACCCCCCTTTCTACAGTGTAGCCCTCACCCTGCCCTCCTATGATGAGAGGAGCAGGGTGGTGGGTCCTCCCTCCCCTTCAAAGCCTGATAGGGATGTGTGTGTACAAAACGCTGCAAACTGATATCTGCTGGGTCCAGGCTCAAGGGCGTATGGTACTCTCAACTCTTTCCAGGACATGCCGGGACCCTGCCTGCCTGTAGCTTTGCCGATATCTGTGTTGATAGGTAATAGATTAAGAGCGGTGAATCATCTTAGATACAGGAAGTTTAGTAGTGATTCCATGTCAGCCACAGCTTGTTACAAAAAATCTGACTGATAGTGTGTTTAACAAACTTAAACTAGCTTTATTAAATGTCAGGTCTTTGGGCAGGGAAAAAACATTGTAAAGATCAATGATTTTAATCACTGAGCACAATCTCGATTTTAATGTTTTTAACAGAAACTTGGATTGAACAAAAGAAAAAAGTGCAGCTGTTCTTATCGAATCAACCTCCTCCCAACTTTAGTTTTATGAGTCAGGAAAGAATGCATAAGAAGGGGGTGGGTTGCTATTCTATTCAATGATTCCATTCAATGCAGAAGACATCTTATGATATTGTGGCCCTTCAGCTGAAAATGCTCCTCTCGAGCTCTGTTCCTAAATATCTATAGACCACCCAAATAACTGTGCAAGCTTTTTGATACTTTTACTGAACTGCTGTCTATAGTGTGTATTGACTTGACCGTGATTTTAACATCCATGTTGACAACCCCCAGGACAGTGTCACGATCTGTCTTTATGGTGTCCTTGGTCTTGTCTTGTTCATGTTTTATTTTGAAAGGTCCTTCACCCTCCTGTCTTGCCTGTTCTGTCTGGGGATTGTCTGTGGTTCCCTAGTCGTTAGTTTTCCCCTGGTGTGTCTGATTACCCGATTGTGTTCACCTGTGGCCCCTGTGTTTTCTCCTCCCTCCTCACCTGTGTCTTGGTTTGTGTGATTAGTCTTGTGTGTATTTAAGGTTCTGGTTTTTCTGTCTGTCTTGTCGGTTCGTCTTGTGTCATGACTAGTTCGTCGGTGAGTGTTCTGTTACGTCTTTGTTATCACTTAGCCTTGAAATAAAGGAATTGTCACTTTAATCTGCATTTGGGTCCTGCCTGCTTCACACACCGTGACAGACAGAGGGGCTAAAGAACTGTTTTGTGTTCTTGATAGCTATGGACTGACTCAGCATGTGACGGAGCCCACGCACAATAAGGGGCACACTCTGGACTTAATTATCTCAAAGGGTCTGAATATCTCTAAGGTTGTGATGACTGATGTTGCACTGTCTGACCATTCCTGTGTTTTCTTTGAGAGCTCTATTTCTGTTCACAAAAATGTTCAAAAAGAGGTAACCACAAAGCGATATTTAACTGAAAATACTAGGGAAAATGTTACTCAGAATTTTTCTACCACACTTGCCCCTGGCTAACATCTCAGTAAATTAGCTAGTAGATCATTTTAATTAAAAATGTTATAGATGCCATTGCTCCAACTAATGTAAAGGAAGTGTCTGGCAAGAAAATATCTCCATGGAGAAAGGCCATGACCGTGAAAAACAGAAAAAAGAGAATGTCGAAAAACAAATCTCCAGGTTCACTGACATTTATAAAGAGAGACTTGGCCTTTATAATTTGGAATTGAAGAAAGCACGACAATCGTTCTTCTCTGACATTATTAACCAAAAACAAAAACAACGCACGTGCCTTGTTTTGCTACCGTCGACAGACTAACTAACCCCCCAGTGTCAGTAGTGTTAGAGATTTGGAGGGCAACTGGCCCGCTTTTCAAATCTCCGCGTGTCCCCTATCAAGCTGGTTATAATACAGGAGGATACCATATCTACAAAGTAACCGTTAAACAATATCTACTTTAATGGCAATATGACAATGCAATACCAATCATTACATACAACATAATATATTACAATTATATTGTAATGGTTAAGGAGTAATGCCGGCTCACTCCTGCCCTGGTTCCCGTGCTGCGGAGATCCTTTCGCTCGGGCAGCATGTGAAGAGTAGAGCGAACGCCAGGGATCCACCGGATATATACCAGAGGTAAGAAGGAGGGGTTAGGGGTTAGGTCAGCTGGTCATCTTTTCAGGTCATCTCACATTGGGAGACGCAACGCTGGCCAGCAGGAAACCAAACAGGCTCACTTTATTACACCTCCCCCACAGAGCAATAAAATCCTGTTTACCTCCAAACAGCCCAGATGTTTATAGCCATTTTTAGTCCTTACATTTATGAAAGGACAAAACAGAGAAATCAATATAAAACAACAGACACAGGTATTGTTTGAACAGTATTCACTTAACTGCTACTATTGATAACCACCAGAGAAACCACAAGGGACCTCTCACAAACACTGTAGC